AGAGAGTGTCCCATAAGAGTGCCCGACAAGAGTGTCCTACAAGAGTGCCTTTCAGGAGTGTCCCACAAGAGTGTCCTGTAAGAGTGTTCCACAAGAGTGTCCTACAAGAGTGACCCACAAGAGTATCCTACAAGAGTGTCCCAGAAGAGTGTCCCACAAGAGTGTCCTACAAGAGTGTCATTTGGACATATGTAGCTTTTCGAACGTGTTTGCATTCGGGTTCGTGGGCTCCATCTTGTTTTTTAATCGCGATTAATATTTCTGGTTTCCGTGCAGATTTGATCGCAATGCGGCAATGCTTCGCGTCGATACTTCCTCACCAAGACAGCGTTTCCGCGCATATTTGGTGGCGATGCATTGATTTTTACATGCGCGTCATACACAAAAACAGTCTGGTAGTCGAAGGCAACTATGCTTGGTAAACTCTGCTCGGGGAGCACGCTACACACAGCAACCCCCGGATATGTACCATGCACACATCAACTCCCGGGTGTACATGTATACATACTGGACCATGCCCTCAGCTAAGACTGCGCGTCACGAAGCAGAAGCGATCGCCGTCACGGAGGCTAGCAAAGAACTTGTAGCTCTGGGGACGCTGATCGAGACAGCTCGTGATGGGATTCCTCTTGACGAGATAGGCGTGCCAGCCAAGACCACAGGAGCATGAAGTTGCATTTGTACAACGATGGGAAAGCGGCTATTTCCATTTCTACCATGGAGGGTTTGCTTCGACGTGTCAAGCACATGGAACTGCGAGCACATTATGTGAAGTACCTCCATCGACGACGTCGCTTGACCTTGGAACACTGGGAAGGTGTTTCCAACCCGTCCGACGGTCTCACGAAAAGTTGCAAGCTCATTGAGATGTGGCTGAACCTCTGCAATGCTGTAGGACTTGTACCTGGTTTGGATGAAGATAAGGCAGCGTTGTTGAGGGGTTTGTCTCGAGACGACGATGACGACGAACTTCCGCCCAGTGAACGTTCAGTTCGAGAAGGGGAGTATGCTCATCGTGCGTGTTTCTTGCATTTTTCGTCCGTTGGTGATCGGAGAGGTGACGGAAGATTTGGGCATTGTGCCTGCTGAAGTTTGAACTTTGTCGAATGTGCTTTTTCCGGAACAGTTTTCCAAAGTCAAAATTCTGTTGGAGAGTTTCTGAATCTGTTTTGTGTGTTTTCGTTGTTGTCCGTCTGTGTTCGGATCCGTCCGGATGAGTTCGGAAGAGTTTCGGTTGGTTTGTGAGTGTAGCGTGTGGATTTGGAGCCTTTCAATGTGTCAGCAGAACTTTAGTGGAAGGACGTGTCCGAGTGCAGCCGTTGAGGTCCGACTAGGTTCGGAGGTGTAGAAGGACTGTTTCTTGTTGATTTAGGAACCTTCTGTTCTGTGATGCAGCGTTTTGAGTTTTGCTGAATTTGGTTCTTGCGTGAAATGTGGCGTCCGGATAGTTACCTCTTTCCTAAGGAAATTGAGACGCTTTGACTGTAGAGATCTTTTGCTGTGCCACTTTTCCTTGTTTGGACTGCTTTCCTTGCCTTGATACAGCTGAACTGAGTGATGACCGCCCGCCGCCATTTTTGTTTAAGAAGGCAACTGTGTGGAGTCAACTGGCGACCGTGCACCAGGCAAAGGGTTTTTACTTGTGGTTTGAAGCACTGAAACCTTTGACAAAGGCTGCAATAAGGAGTAGCTAACCATGAGTGGCTTGATCAGGGGGGTTGGAGTGTCAGACATGTCCAGTTGTTTGTTTTTATGCCAGGGATTGCAGGGTTGAGACGCCAGGAAACGACAGTTTGAGACTTCAGTTGCTGCAGAGATTTTGGACACAGTTGTGCAAAAGGGTTGTCAACATTCTTCCTTTAAGGGTTGTAACGTGTTCGAGGGTTCTAGAACATCTGTCCTTTTTGGTTCTGTTTTGAGATGCTTGTTTTTCTTCTTGCTGTGTTCAGTTTGCAGAGCAAGGGTTATGCTTTGTGTGTGATGCATGTGCTCAATACTTCAGCCTGTCTAGCGAAAGTCGCTTTTCGTGCACTGTGATTTGCCTGTTCGATCCTTTTGGGAGAGATGACCGACATGGAGCTCACCGAGTCGCCAATGGCTACCCCGGTCATTGTTGGGGATGACAATGAGG